TCCTTCTGAGTTAGAACCACTTCAACAACAAAAACCTATTTGTAGGTTTTATTTCAACAGAATTATTTTCTTCTCAAAGAAATCTTAAGCCTTCAGCAAGGAGTGAAGAAGTCACATCCATTCTTTCAGACAGTTTTAATTTTCTTCATCTCCTCACTTACCCTGACCAGGATTGAACTGGATTAACAGAATGAACATGCTTTGATCCTGCCCCAGACTGAATTTATCTTAAGTTTACATTCGAGGTACCATTTTTCAAAAATGCTCCCACTGGCAAAGCACTGTACAGTTCTTAGCAATCCATCACACAAAATATTTAATTCTCCACACTTGCTCCGAAAGCATATGCAAAAATAAAAAAATGTAGAAAATTCAAAATATGTGTAACCGTTGATTGGTTCTTGTTTGGTTTTTTTTCAAGTCCCAGCAGCACTGAAGCCGAGATATCTTGCATTTAAAACARACAAAGCAATGCCCCCTAGTGTTCTCTGGAGAAATCCCATACAAGGCTGCCAAAAGCCTTAAAAAAAAAGCATGTACCATCTTAAGTGACAATCAACGTTTTGAAAGCTTACAGCTCACATGCAGCATCCTTGGAATTTTCCGCRTATGACTGTGGCCTGCAGAACTATTTGGGAAGCTTTCTTTTCCTCCCCTCCATTGCTGGTAGTTGCATCATAATTTCAAACGTCATCTGTGGACTATCTTCCCACCGGGGCATGTGCCAAATCACATCAATCACCCTGCACCTTCCCCAACACACAGCATTTGGTACCCTGTGTTAGTGACCCAYCACACAAGCAGGATGTAATTTTTGGCTCAAGGAGCTTTCTTGCAGAGCTCCAGTGTTTAGTGGATTTCTTTAAGGCCACAGCTGACCCAAAATATTGATTAACTGCAAACAGAACTATCCAAAATGAAGACTCAAACAAAGGAGAGCATTCTCATAGTTCAGAAAAACTCCTGCAGAGCTATAAAAATATTTATTTACATCCTGTACACATTACAAAACTCAACTTTGCATCTCACAAAGGAGTGGAAGAGATTTTATAACTGGAGGTTGGAAAAGCAAAAGGTAAAGTCCTTGATGAAGGCTGCTCTTAAATGAACAGATAGGACTCCTTAAATTTTAYCATCCATTGCTCTTGAAAGGTAACTGCTAAGCTCTCACCATCTAGACAGATTAAAACTTGAATGACTTTGATTAAACTTTTAATCACAACAAATACTTTAAAAATAATAAACAATAAAAAATATCYTTGTTAGACCACTGTGCATTTGGTTTTTTACACATCATTGACCTGCTGCAGATAGAAACCACAGATCAAAAGAGAAGAAAAAAAAAAAAAAGAGAGATTGGAAGGAAACACCAGCTCTGCCCATATCCTCTCTAAAATAAGGGGGGAAAGATGAAATTGAGGTTTCCTCAGAGGGAAGTTAGCTTGGCCTGTTTGATAGGTAAAGACAGGGGCTGAGGTCTTTGGACCAAGCATCACCCTGCACCTTCTGGAGGAATTTATTCTTAAGAACAAAACATCAGAAACATCTTTTAAAAGTTTTGCTCATAAAAGTCAAACTCTCCAAACAAAAGCCTGCCAGAGTGACCATGCAAAACTTACTTGATACAAAGAAAACAACCAGTGAGATCATATATCTAGAGTAAATTCTGGACTTGATGTGGCACTTGTGATGAGCCTTTCAGGGCTCTGTATCTGCAGCCCTTGTGTCTGAGGCAGAAATACAGAATTTGGATGTAGAAATGGGATCAAATTAGACATTTTTAAAATTAGGTTTGAGCTAGGAAACTCCACTTCAATATTTAAATTGCATTCTCCTCAGAGGGCAACCAGTACATATTCTAACTAAACTAGCAAATACTTTTTTTTTCCTCTAATGAGGGGTGGTTACTGCCAAGCATTCTGGCCTGCAAAGAAATTATTTTTGATCTTGTTATACATGTAATCAAATTAAGGGAGAAAAGAAAGCAGTTTAGAGACCATCCAAAAGACAGCCAAGGGAGGATATTCAGTGTTTGTACCACTGCACTAGGAATTCGTATTTCTTACATGTCTGACCCAGCACATCCGTGTTACTGAGTGTATGCACAGAATACTATTTTGGAGAAACTGYTTGTACATATATGTTAAAGAAAAAGCTCTCAGGATCAGATTCCTCCCTGTCATTCTATTTGCAGGGTACAGTGTGAGGAAAGGACCATTCAAATTCAAGGTACAAAAAAAGCAAGGGAAGGATCTGGGGAAGACAGACATTATCTCGAGAATCCAGTTTCCAGCATGACTGAACAAAACAGCTTTCCCACTTCAGTTTATTCAACAGTCCAGTGCCTTCCAGACACATTCTCACTTTCCCTGGGAAGAAGTAGAACTTGAAAGAGTATGGAGGAAAATGCTTCAACATTCATCACAGAGAGGCCACACACATACTATCATATTTTGACAACATGTGTGTTCTTCTGCAGGGCTGGAACCATTCTAGTAGTGCTTCACTAGGAAAAGATGACAAGAGTGTCCAGGTAAGACACTAAAATTATCTGAACTGTCAGTAGTTTCACCAGTGAAGTATAAACAGAGCCCTTCCATTCTTCACCTTGGCCCTCCTCTTGCACAAGTGCTTTGCTATGTGTCTAGTGCTGGTGCATTCTCCTTAATTTCGTTCTGTGTCACTCTCTGCAGGTACTTCAGTCGCATGGGAGGGAGCTGCTCATAAATGTCAAATCCCAAAGGACTCTCTGCATTCAGCAGTCTGTAGTACAGCAGGTGCTTTTTCAAGTTCTGAAGAAAGAAACAGAAAGGTATCTAATCTTTTCCTTCATCTCCAACACAACATAGTGATCTACMAATAGTATAATTCCATCATGCCCAAGATATTTAATTGCATCATCTTCAAAGGCAAGTTTCTTCCAATAAAATTCTTTTTTTTTGCATGAGAATTCCTCTTCTAAAAACAACTCCACTGTCTCCTCAACAGCTCCCCACAATGACTTCTTGCCAGAAACACAAGTGGATTTTTGAGTGTGATCTAATAATTTACCCTGGGGTGTAATCACAGAGGGCCAATGACCCAGCTGTGTCACACAAAGAACAAATTCTGGCAAGCTCCTTCAAAAAAAAGAAAAACCTTATACATGGCATGTCCTGTTCAGGGGAAGCATCGAACTAAGAGTTAAGACCGTTCACTGCTGGCCATCTATTCATAGTTATGCTACAATCATTCCTCTAGCATCTCTAACTATCCAGATATAATGCTGCTTGGACAAGAGGCATGGAAATACAGTACAGGAGATTCATCTAAGTTCCAATGGCCTCAGCATTCTGAGGTCCATTACTACAAGAACTGGTTAAGCATATTTATACACATTGCAGGCCAAAATCTTGTTGCTAATCTCCTCTCATTCTCAACTTATCAAGATAWTTAAACACAAATTTCAAAAGCCAAATGTAAGTCTGTAAGAGTACCATGTATGGAAAAYTTAATTCCCAGTGCACAAACTGAATCTTACAAATCCTACCTCATCCACCAACAGCCACGTCTTCCGSAGCATGCTTTTCCGAGCAGCATCTATCTCCTGGGAGCAAAACACATACTTTCCTTAATATGGTGCAATAATACCTTTGCCCAGGGGCATACAGCACTCCAGAATGATTTGTTCATTATAATGATGAGCAGCCTGTTCCAGCAGAAAGTGCCYGAGATGGCTATCACTTAAATCCTGCCTCTCTGCTCCTTTCCCTGATCTGATCTCAGCTGACTTTTCAAACCTTCAGGTACAACTGCAGATCAGAGGTGAAGTGCTGGTAGCAAAACTATTCATTGCTAGAGGCCCCAAGGCCACGGGAGGGCTTCTGTTTGGTTACTCAAGCAAAGTCAAAGAAAAGATTATTACAKCACCTTAAGATTGCTAAGGCAGAGGGCAAATCTATTACAAGCTCTCTCTGCCTGATCATATTTCTTATTCTTTCTGCTTTATTCTTCCCCCCATACCAGATAACACATAATTGCTGACCTCAAAGATTTAGGTAGGACTGGCTACCATTACTGCTAGTGCTTTTGGGTATAATGAACAAAAGCTGCTGCCTCATATGTGGATGCTCAAACAGCTGACGAGTCCTCAACACKTTTTCTTACAATCTTTGTTTTCAAGCCCCAAAGGTCAGTGATTCATCACAAGCCACACTGGCCTCACAGGGAGAGCAGGTGCAAAACCCAAAGACTGCAGCCCTGAAGCTCTGCTATCCATTACTTACCTGCGTTGTGCTTTCTTGGGAGAAAATAAAACTGTTCACATGAGCCACAGCCACCACGTACAGAACAGGGCACCAGGCRTGGCGCAGTGCACCAGTGACCAGCGTGCGGAAGTAGAGTCGCAGGAGGTTCAGRTTATCCTCAGGAGGGGAAGTGTAGYGCTCAAGAGGCACAGGAAACTGCAACAAACCCAGCCAGAGACATTACAATTTTTTGTCAAAACCTAAGTAGCGATAGGAAGTTCATGACTTCTAAGGTGCCCTTCCCCAGCTGTTTGTGCATGCCCATCTATACAATGCAATGTACTCCAGTGGCATGACCCCTGTTTGCAGCAGATCCACTACTGCCCACCCTGATTCATCTGCCTTGACAAAATGTTGTCAAGAGCTGTTCAGCTTTATGGTGAGATGTTTTWCTAGTCCTATCACTGCAGCTGATTTTTGGCACAAGATGAGCGGTTACAAAGTAAGAAGGCAGAATATTTTTGACAGCACCACTAAATTCTATCTCTTGGGCTCTGCTCACTCAAAAGAAAGTCTTACACTTGACAGGCCAAATTTTCTTGCTGGGTTACTCAGCAGAGCACAACTCCAGTATAACTGTATGTGTTAAGATAGTTAAGAGGGAAAATGACTATTTGTCTATGCATGGGCAAGGATGAAGTTCTCACCAAGGTGTGAAAACACTTACTTAAGGGAAAGGTAATTGCTAGCAGAACATGGGGTGCGACCCATGTTCATACATACAACCTATAAATYAGAAGAAGGTTCTGAATGGTCAAGCAAGGTATGGGACAATTTCCACTGAAGACGGGGAAATTTCACAGCCACTTCCCTCCATATATACGCACTAATCAAGGCTGGAGAATCACAAGCCGGAGCACATCAACCCAGAAATAGGGGTGACAGGCAATTGCCATAAGCCAGGATTACCTGCTGTAATGGCACTCCCAGCGCTCGCAGGATATTTGTGTGCTCCCCAAAAACAGCRAGACGCAGATGAACACTGAAACGCTTCTGCAAAGGTAGAAGAACAAAGACTCCAAAGAGTGGATCTCCAAAGGACACACCCTCAAATTGCTCCAGGAGATTTATATAGAGATCATGGAAGGATGCCAAACCAGGGAGAGGAGCATCCAAGTTCAGAGAGTCCAGGGCCTTGGGYTGGCAATACACAGAGAGAAGGGCAGCTGTGTAGTGATGGACTGGTGCTTCTAGAAAGAGGTCATTGCCCGTGAGGAAGACACACATAAGCCGTGCAAGTTTGGCAGCAGTCGGGATGCTCTGAAGGGTTTTAGAACGCCAGGTTTCCAGCAATAAGACCCACTGCAGGTTCCAAGTCACAGTGTTGATGAGGTCAAGTGGGAGAGAGTTCAGAACAGCCCCACGTGTCTCTGCATTAGTCACTTTGTTGTAGAGGCTGATAAGTGGAAAGAATGGCCAGTCTGAAGGGAGGATGGGCCCTCTGACCTCAGGAAGCAGCATCGACTGGATGAGGTAATTCCGCCCTTGGTAGGATGCCTGAGAACGCATGAGGGTGGGCTGCAAGTGGGCAAAGTGAGAGAGGTAGCAGGAACGAATGGAAGGAAGATTCTGGTACGATTCTTTCAGAAGGRCACCACGAGTAACCTTTGAAAGAGATGCTGCTGCAGAGCCAGGCTGTGCCAGTTTGGCACTGGTGCCCAGATGCAGGATATCAGAGAAGTCAGCTGCTTCTGGCCCTCCAGCTTTCCCTTCACTGTAAGATAAAGAAAAACAACTTTAAGAAACAAACAAACACCTGAAACACAAACAAACAAGACATCACATAAATTCATCTCTACATTCTTTCTGGAACAGTTAGAGTGGTACATGCATAGCACTCAACACTTCCTACATCATTCAACTGTTCTAATATGGAGGGCTTGTAAAGCATCAGCTATCTTGGAATTTACAGGGATTTCRCAGAACCACATTTGCAGTTAGCAACAATGAGGCTGTGCCATGAAAACCCTCCACAGAATGCCAGTGTAGCGTGGAGGCTGAAATCCCTTGTCCAGAGAGGCAGCCTAGTTACCAACACCAACATGAGGGTGCTGAGATGAAATACTTCATATCAGATAAGGCCTACACAAACCAGTAAGACAATTCCCAAAACAGCTTTGCAGCTGGCAGAGGCAAGGTCAGGGGAACCACACAGACTGATAGAGACTGAGCATGTGAAAGGTTTGTCAAATCCCTATTGCACAATCTCAGACCAAAGACTCAACATTTTGTTGACCCAACCAAAAAAAAAACCAAAACACCACTGCATAAACAAACAAATCCACTGGGAAATTTTCCCTCTTTCTGAAAAAACCTAGTATCTTGTTATAGCACATTGGTTCAACCTCCTACAGGGATGCACCGTGGCTAATTTCAAACAGATTAAGATGAATTCAATTCTTCTTGTCCAGGTATGAGAGTATTCATATTTGAGAGTATTCATATTTGAGATGCTTGTGATTTCTTTCAGTGTAAGGTGGAAGACATGGCATTTGTCAAATCAGCAAAAATTTGTGTAAGAATGTGAATAATAAGGATTTGAGGAAGATTCACTAAGCTTCTCAGGCTATATAAATTCTCATTTATTTTCTAGATTCACTACTCTCTGCTAGGCCTTAGTGAGAATCAGTTAAATCAGGAATCACATGAGCCTTGTCTGTCACAGAAGAAATCAAAAGAAACTGGTCAGATTCYTCAACACTGCTATATCAGAGAAAAATATGCAACTACAATGCTTGTCTGATTAGAAGGCTCTGTGTCTGGAAAATACATCAATGAGTAWGTAAAATTCAACTCCAGGCCCTGTTAAAGGCCAAAAATTGTGACAAAATTGCAGTGCCAATGTGTTTTTTTCCATTTTCCCCATGTTTTCCCACGTACCAGACTAGAGAAAGGAAAAAATGCAAAGCTTACGGAAGAAACTCTGGATTAAAGGCAAGATCCAGCAGGACCTCGTGAGCCAGATGCTCACTCCCTGGCAACAGACGGCTTAGCAATGCCATGGCAACACAGTGATGGAGTGAGGCATGCTGGGTGTAATCTGRACAAGTGCCTGCCTGTACAGGAAACAAAACGACAGATAAAAGCACTGTATCATTTGTCACTAAGACAATCAACAAAGACACAAGGGTCAAACAAGACACAGACCTCGCTGGAAACTGAAACACTGAGGCAGACTACAAGAGCTGTCAGCATTCATACCAAGAGATCTAGCTGCTTCCCCTGGCTGCCTTAGATAGTCAGACATCTTTTTTAGCACCACAGCTGAAAACTTTGCCCTTACTCTACCATAAAGACAGGCAAAAATATAATTTTTCCATCCAAAGTATTTGGGAAGTAAATCCCCATATCAGTAACTGGAAAGATGTTCCTTGCTAATGGGGCATAAAAGTCAGCAGAAGAGGTGCCAGAGGTAAGTGAGATACAAGAAGGAACAGAGATGTGAAGAGCAGCTGCCAGTGAAGTCAGTTCCCCTGGTGAATGAAATGAAAGGAGTAATAACAATACCATTCTCTGAGCCAACGCTAACACAAARTACTGCAGGTGATATTCATGGCGTAGGATCCACGCAGATGAGGGAGTTACAGAGGGAGGTCCAGTCTGCCAGCTTTGATGCAGATAATCCTTCAAGCCTCTGAAGCCCAGCACAGAGCTGTACTATAATGGAATCACAAGTGAAGACAAATGATATTAAGACAGTCTGTGTTTGGAGGAAAGCAAAACACAGCCCTCTCCAAGGCCCACCTCCTACTTCTCACATGAGAATTCCTGTTGGCCACTCCAAAAGACATCTTTAAAARCAGCCTGATAAATATCTGCTTTTTCTGCCTCAGGGCTCACCTGCATCCATCATGACCATCCCTATCACAGGTAACTAATAGTCACCGCCTACATTTCCCACAGTGTTTTGTAAGGCAGAAAACTGGCCAGTGGCGTGGCTCAAAATGTTTTTCTCTCATGTAGCCCGATATTTCCATTAGTAACCAGTCAGCTAATTCAACATAAGGTGACACAGGAAGGTTTGAGAAAGCTTATGCTAGGTATCCAATTCTTCTAGGGCTCAGCCATTTGCTCTTCAGAGAGCATGACTCACTCATTCTAAAAATTCAGAACAAACCAAAACAGGAAGAAACCTCTTCAGTCACTGTAGCACTCATTCTCTTTTTAATATTATCCCATTTCTCTTTGTTATATATGCTTCAACCATACTTTTACTCCACTCACACTCAAGTTTTATATTTTGCTTAGCCAAACAAGTTACTCAACTCTTCTCAACATTTTTTATAAATCTATCCTTTAAGCATCACCTGCTCTGTAATTCCAGCTGCCTGGTGTCAAATGAATATTGAAATTCAAAGACAATATATTTTTCTGATCCTCATCCCACCTGTTCTGAAAGTGGGGCTGTTTCTCTCTATAATACTTCGATACTTTTTAAATAAAAAACAATTTGCTTTTAACAGTCCTTCTAATGTCTCTTTTTGGGCTTGGGAAGATACGAATAGTAACCTCCCTCACAAGYATATCATCATTCACTTACAATATACAGTGAAAAAGTCTATTCTCACCTTGCTGGTCAGGCCCTTGTGAATTTGAGTGATGTTATTGATGAGAAATAGGAGGGCAGTGAGGAAGGGGAAAGGTGACTTGGAGCCAACCAGGCTCAAAGGAGGTTTGCCCCCAGTGCAACTCAGAGATGCAATGCTGACGACAGATTCTGGTGCCGGGGAACAGGACAGAGGGTTGCACAAAGCAGAACATGGCCTGTGTGAACAAATAAAGAGAAAGGGTTCAGGTCAAAAGCATTCACAGTGCTGAGGAATTATCTTGTTGGAATGTTGCTATCTGAACTGTACCACACATTGCAGTAAAACAGAAGCCCTGGAGACAGTGAAAGGAAAAAGCCAGCATCACAGTTGGCACACTAAGCACTACTGCCATACAAGCTAATGCCAGTGAGCTATCAGGAACTCTCATCTTCAGCTAAATTGGTCATGATGAGCAAAAATACTGATGCAGTGAGGCATGTCTGATGTCAAATATATGAAAGCACTGGATCTTTGATTTAAAAAAATACGCCTTTCCCCACGTACATACGCACACAAGGCTAATAATGCTGCCCACCCACTCAAGACATTTCAATAACAAACTTATAGGCAAAGCCAAAAAGCCAGATTATACCTAAAACTGACATTGCAAAAATGATGCCCTTTATGTATTAACAAAAATCATATTTTAAAATGGTATKCAAAAAGAACCTAGCTTTAACATACATGAACATGTCAATGCAAATCACTCACGGTGTGTGTGCTCTCTGCAGAAGAAACTACAAATTCTCACACCAGCAGTGCTTGCAGAGCCCACAGCAGATAGACCATGTCTGTACAGGTAACATCACCATAAGGAAGAGTGATCACATGCAAGATGCTCAGCGGTAATAGGGTAATAGGGCAAATCCCATAAAATACCCATATCATTACTCTATGGCAGAAAATCAATTGCTTCAATGCATTGCTCTTTCTACCACTGGGGTATTACATGTAGGAGATGCACAAGCACATCTGGGGCTCACAGAGTACCCTGAACTCCTGGACCTAAACTGCCCCAAAAGTCTAGGCAAAAGTGTGAAAATATTAGGGCAGAGATTAGCTGACTGTGATTTTTACCAGTCAGTGTTAAGAATAGCCTAGGASAATTCCTGCTGATGAGCTCTTATAGCCTGACCAAATCCATTGTTTTCAGACGTCAGTGACAAGTAGAAAAGGCTCTAATGAGTGCCCTTGTATTAGAAGCTTTGGTCCGGAAAGCTTCACATCTCAGTTTCAGTCATGAAAGAACATGGGCTTAACTGTTTGGTGACCATTCAAATACCACTTGAAACCAAAAATTTCAAGTGTCCTTTATATCAGATGTTCTCAGAGGCAATTTTTCAAAAAAAAAAACTCTGACTGCAAGTTAGGCCTTTTAGATTCCCCACTCTGGAAGATTAATCACAGCCTAGTAAGGAGGCTCCCTCTAGAGCAGAAAGACAGAATATCTGCAGCATTTAACTGCTCCTAGAGCCAGAGCTTATGTTATACATATGTCTGAAAGAACAGTTTGGTATTTGTTCTTTTACTTCTCTGCAGAGGTTTTCAAAGCCCAAGTGAAGCTCTGCAGGAGCTTAAGATGTGATTCTAGTTAAATTCTTTTATATAAGCAGCACCACACAGAGCACATGCACACACACACTCACCTCATCGTGTAAGAGGGACTCAACCAATGSTACTTGCACCACGTTTTTTTTTTTAGACCAGTGAAACCAAAGAAGAATTAATGCCAAAAGTGACTAAAATAATCTGAAATGGATATGAAAACCCCAGCCACATGGTAAAGCAGAGATGCAGCAGCACCAGTAGAAAAGGTGGTGCTGCAAAACCTGCAGCCATCATGCTTTTTCTGTGAGGGGAGAGAGTTCAAAGCAAGGTGTTGACAGAGCCCTACTGCACTCTAATTCCCCCATCTGGGGCACATTGCACAGGGAAAGAAAGTGGGAGTGGGGAGAGCTGTCACAAAATACAGCACAGAAATAGAGCTCCCTTAGCTTCTGGCAACAGCAACAACATATTTGCAGTGGAATGGTTTTACCTGAGCAAGTCCCACATGCTGTCTATGGCTGGCTGGCTGAGAAGAGGCTGCAGTACCTCAGAGGTCAAACGTTCCAGTTCCTCTAAGCAGTCAATTGGATTGACTGATGGCTGTAGAAGACATGGAGAATGACAGGAAAACACAGTGAATGACCACAGCATCCAGTGATGTCAAAAAGACAGACTGATGTATTTGCTTCTTCTGTGTTTATTATCTTTTTGCAGACCACATCACCTACATAGTGATACTGCTCTAGCTTAGAGCCRGCCTCATTGCTCATAGTGTGGAAGTTGAGAGCTGGCACCTCAAGGTGTTCTCACACTCAAGTATTAAAATGCATCCCAGAGATTCTTAAGTGGCTGGAATCAAGATATGGGATCCTTGGAATTAGGATTCCCTAAATGAAAAACTTGGCTAAGCCCCCTTCCCCATACCATCTACATGTTCCTATTTAAATTGAAGATAACACAAAGGTGATCAGAACTACCTTCAGAAATCTGAGTGGCACCATGAGGGTCTCCAGAAAATAAAATTGAAACAAAATCAGCTGCGTAAAGTGTGATTGACCTACCCATCAAAGCATGACTGCAGATGAACACTGCACAGAGGAGGAACTGGGGCTTTTAGAGAATCATCCAAATTCTTCTGACCTTAGYAAGCAATATTCCAGGTTGAAGGAACATGCTGGCAAATTTTAACTTTTAATCTTCATTAGAATGCTGCTTTGGGACACAGAAATACTCAATTCCATTACATAAAATCTGATTTTTCCCCCAGGAGAAATCCACCTCCAGAAATCAGTAAAACCTTTCTGAAGATGTTAACCTTAGTTTTTAATAGTCTAACAAAAATATTCCAACTAGGTCCCAGTATAGACTAATCTAATTACTATACTATACAAGTTGATTTTTTTGCACTAATCTATTCAATTATGTGACATACAATTTTTTTTTAAATCAGCTAACCACAGGTAGATGACTGAACTTCTTTCTAAGTGGAAATTCAAACATTAACACAATTCAAAGACTTGAGAAATTGTTTCCTCAGCCACTCCTCTGGGATATCTGTAAAGGTTAAAAAGGAGCACCAACCTCTTAGCTGTCCTGGTTCTCTAATGCCCAGGACATAATCACAGCACATGAAGGGTGTATCAGCTTTTGGGGCACTGAACACATCTTTGAGAGATACTGGCAGTTGCCACACCAGCCATAACTAACAAACTCAGTTGCTTTTGGTAAGTTTCACAGAAGTTGCACAAGTGTGAATAACTACAGCCATTAAATTACCCCCATACCTTCAACAGAGCTCTCCCAAGYTAGAACTCAGACACGTCAGCTGGGCAGTTAAGAGGAAAATTGCATTTATCTTTAGAACATGAATCTTTAAGGTAGCTAAAGCATAAGACATTATTYTTCAACAGCATCACACTCATGTCACCTTCAGAAAACTCACTTGAAAAGATGATCACATACTACAACTGTGTGTTACAACTTGACCTTGAATATCAGTGGGGCAACAAATAAATTTATCTTTATTATTTCCTATCCAAAGTTCATACGGCATGACCCTCAATGCTCAGTCTTCCACCCACATGATTGCAATGTAGGTGTCCACATGTAAGCCCTCAGACCAAAGCAAATGGAAAAATGCATGACTTGATTTATCCCACTAGGAAAAATGACTGCCAAATTAAATTGGGTTGTATTTGCTTCATGCTTTGGATCTCAGTAGTAAATCAGAACAATCACAGTAYTACCACACACCTTGTTTAAGACTCTTTGATCCCAAAGGATGAAAGGACAAAAAAGGAAGAGAGATATTTGGCACTGCTAACACATAGAGTCAGCAGACTTAKGTGACCCTGAATGTCATACAGCCTAGATATGAGCTGTGGTAAACATAATCAGTGTTCAGCTAGATGCCTCCATATGTTTTTAAGCACTGCCTCTAAGTTCAAGTTTTCAGACATAATACACAAATTGATGCTGGTGAGATGAGAACACAACCTGTATTTTCAGCCCTTACCTGTTGGCTGTAAGCACTATAATAAACTCCCAGGAAGATCAGACAAGTTGTGGTCAGAGGCTGCAGAGTTTGCCAAGTTTCTGCCTGGGATATCTCCTGAAGGATTTTTTTCAGACTTGTCTCAAGGAAGGGCTGTAAGCCTGACACTTGATTCCATGCTACTGGAGGAGGTGGAATCTGTTCACTATCTTCTGAGCTATTGCTGAAACACAATGGAAGAATGACAGAGGATAGCAAATAAATGTCAAGCATCGGTCACTCTAAATCATTTTTTTAACAGGAAGATGTAGTCTGGAAAATGATATCCAACAGCAGCAACCAGGGGAAAAAATATTTGCATATTCCCACAACCCAGAATAAATAATTAAGGCAGAAAGCATAAATGTAGAATGTACTCTTAAAGCTGAAGTTTCTTCTCCTGCACTACTCTGCCCCTGAGCAATGCTGTAGCTTTACCAGAAATGCATCTCAGTACTCAGCTTTAGTTAAAGAGCTTTTTTTACCTTCCCACCAGAAAATGTTCCTGTGACTGCAGCAAATCCAACTGCTTTGATGTCTATCAAAACCAACCACCTCTCAATCCTGAAACATCTTGCTCTCTGCAGAGAGGTTCTTTCATCCAAACCTCAGGGCATTTATTTTGTTTACCCCCAAGGAAAGGTCAAAGGAGCTTCCCAGCTCCTTACAGTAGGGCATTTGGTTAACAGTGCTCTTTCTGCCCCATAGTATAACACAGATTCTGACTCCTGCCTCTGGCCAGGATAGCAGGCAMACAGCTGTCAGATGAGACACTACTTCTGGTTTTGTGCAGGGGTTCACATGTGGGACAGTAAACCATTGAAAATGAGGGGGGAAAAAACAGGTGATAGCCAGGTCTCCAAAGCAAAGAAAAGGAAGTCAGGATGCCAACTACTCAGCTGCACAGAATGGTGACAGAGACAGCCTACCTGCTCAACTTGGCCTGCAGCTCTGCCGTGTAGCCTGCTGTTTGTGTCACATGTGTCAACAGAGTAACCACTGCTGCAGCTCGCTGCACAGACAACTCAACCACAGGGCTCTTTCCAGTGCAAGCGCTCAGCAACTCGGGCAGGGACTGCAAAATCCTCACCAGCACAGGGTAGAGATCACTGTAGTATGAATCACAGAATAGATGAGGTTGGAAAGGGTCTCTGGAGATCATCTGTACTTCAATTCCCTGCTCAAGCCAGGTCAGCAAGATCAAGATTGCCAAGGGACATGTACAGCTGGATTTTGAATATCTTCAGGGACAGAGTTCACTATCTTGCTGTGCAACATGCTCCAGTGTCTGATCACCTTTACAGCAAAGTTAGTAAAGATTACTGTAAAAACACTTCAGTAGAATTTCCAGTACTTCCATTTGTGCTTATTGCTTCTTCACTTTCCACTGGAAGAACTTGGCTCTACCTTCTTCACATTCTCACATCATTTATTTATAAAGTTTGTAAAAATATGATTATGAGAATCACCACCACCACCACCACAGTAACAAAAATAAACAGATATGGAAAAACAATGACAAAGGAAGACTACAGCTATTCCAATTCCATCTGAAYGGGACCTACCTCATACTCTGCCTCCAAATACACTGATTATCTTTTGAAAAAACTACTTTGATTTTATTCTTGTGGGGAATAGTTCTCAGATTCTCAGCCACACTTATAGTCTTACAACTTTAAGGAATCTTCTGCTGTTTCTTTTCTCCATATTATTTACAGTGCCAAAATAGTATATACAATTTTTACTCTTTTTAAGTCATACACCAGATTGTGCCAAAGAACACAAAATACTTTGTGGRTGAGAATCTCCTTTCTGAAACTCAATACTGGCCTCCCTCTGACTCCACTTCAGAGCAACTCCATAACCATCTCTGTTCTTTTAATTCACTGCAATTACAGGGAGAAGATTTAATGGTTGAGCTAGGTCAGACTTAACACCAGTGCAAACCTTGGTAGTACAGTACAAGAACTTCTACTGAACTGGAAGTCGATGCAAGGTACAGTTTCTCTGCACTAGTCTGCCCAACTTAGCATGGTGGCTGCTGCCCACAGACCCCTAGGTCAAGCAGATTCAATCCTGGGTGTGCTGCAAACCACGTGTTTTGATGTCATACAAGCACAGCTTATTCATCCCTTCAAGGGGAAAAAAATGCAGCTCTAAAAAGCTACAGTGGTCTCCCATAGCATAAAGGAAAACCAACAAAATAGCAGTGCTTAAACACTGTGAGGAGACAGTGAACAACCAGAAAATGACAATATTCAGCATAAATTACTTCAGGGAGCCAAAGAAAGTGAGGTAAGACACCCTGAAGGGAATAGACTGAGCMTGGAGATGCCTTTCTTTGCCCCTTTGGAACAGGATGCCTCTGGTGTGCCCTCCACCCCCATTCCAGCTCTGAGCTGTACCTGTAGAGGTCACAGGCCTGCCCGTAGCCAGCAGCCACAGCCCACAGCCGGAAGGCTTCRGTGCTCAGCCTGACCGATTCTTCTCTTGGCAGAAGCAGATCCAGTGGGTCTTCAGCAATAAAGCGACTTAACCGACTCTTCATTTCAAACTTGTTCAGCTGAAAATAAAACACAGGAAAAAGAAAAGGATGAAGAAAAAAAAAAGACAAAGGGATAAGGGAAATCAGTTGCATGCATCATTATCTCATTGCTTTGACACGCACAAAGAGCTGTAGATTTCAATTCAGCTCATTSTAAACCCTTCTTGCACTGCTCAAATCTGCTTTTATTTTGTGCAATCTTAAGGAGTAGACTATAAAAGATCACTAAATGGTCAATGGCTATTAAGACAGAAATATTCCTGGAATGGATGCCTAGGAGTACCTACTCCATTCCTAACACAAATCAACTACACCTAATTAACTTCTGATGGAGGTTTGTCTAACCCCACGCACAATCCTGTTTTGGATGTTCTCTGCAGCGTTTAACTGATTTTTAAAAAAAATAAATAATTTTTCCTCTTTAAATAGTCTCTTAAATAGAACTCTCTTAGTCAAGATTACATGTAAAGATATACTCTGTGAAAAACAATGTGTACAAAAGTACTGAACTGATGCTGACATTCCTTTGGGAAGGTCATACTAAATGGGTTTCAAAGGTTCTACAACCTAAGTCTTTCTATGATTCTGTGTTTGTTTTATGGAAAGGGTACCTCCCGCCTATTACTTTCATAAGGTTATAGAATTTTGATGCCTCGGAAATGTTCTGAGGTATTTTGGTATTGAATTAAGCATGACATGATTCATTTGCAGTTCTCTAGAAATAATTTTTATCCTCCCCTACATCTGGGTATTTTTACTTACCATAAAAAAGAGCTTCTCTTTCCTTCTCCCACACATACAAAAGCTTCTATGTGTTCTGTCTAAACAAATGAGGTAACAATGTCTTTTTCACAGCACAAGGACATATTATACGTAATTTAAATTTCAAATGCTTTAGAGACATCTTGTAGGGAAATCAATGCACACCAGCAAGAAAGCAAAGGAGCTGATGAGTCAAAACTATAAATTCTGACACCTCTCCTACAGAACAGAGGACAAAGTTAAATTTACTTCCAGGAGGAAGATGGATGAACTTTGTTGTTAGCTAAAATAAACTTGTACATTGATGGTTTTGATTTAGTTTTTTATTACCTCCACTCCCACATTTAAGGGCATATGTAACAAAACATATGAGAGTGTAACAGTAGCAAAGCCTGAGTGTCAGAAACCATCCAAGCAATTTTTGCATGCCTTGAAAWACCTGCAGTACACAAAGCCTGAAGTAGAAAAATATCTGAATTTTACTGTTATGTTCCTAGTGCCACTTACAGTCTTTAAATATCCCACTGTCCATGACCAGCACATTATTGTCTATATTTTATAACATAGTCTGGCATTCTGTTGATTCTAGCAATTTCCTGGATGGCAATTTGTTAGGTGCTGTCAACAATACTGAATGAAAAACCCAAAGTAGTGCTCTTTGCACCACAATGGGTGCTGCTCTTGGTAGATTTCAGGCATTTATAACACCAGCATTACAACATATATGAGGGAATGCATTTATCTCTGAAGTGGAAAAGCTGTCCAGAAGTAAAGAGGAGCTGAAAACAATGATGAATTGTCTCAGAGGTATTAAGACAAATTAATGGCAGAAAAGTTCAAGCAGGGTTATAAAACACAAGGATAATGATTAAATCTCTGGTTTACACAGTCTTATGTTGCCAGTCACTGAAACTTGGGAGAGTGCAGAGCATCACACATCAGTGTATGCTCTAAACATCTGCTTCTGGTCAGTATCACTGTGCTGGGTTCTGTGACTTTTGCAGGAGTGCACAATGTAAATAATAAAAAAAAACAGAGAAAAGCTTGAGACAGCTCTTCTATCATTATGGAGGAGAAGCATCATTTTAACGACACTGTCAACAATTCCTTCAAGACACACTGAAGCACCTTCCTCACAAGGATTTCTTCAGCTTCAGCTCAGAGTCACCATCAGTTAGTCTTCTCCTTCACTTAGAAAGTCAGGCATGGAAAACAAAGGCCTTTGCAATCATAAAAGATCTTCCAAGAACCACTCACCAGCCTGGCTGTTGCATTTCGGCCTCCAGATGCCAACACCCTGATGAACTTCATAGCACTGGAGCAAGCAACTCCGTGGAGACTGGTAAGTAAAATCCCTGGTTCAGCCACTTTGGGATCCCACCGAGTAGGGAGAAACTCCCTGACAATGGTCTCAATCAATCGAGGACAGTCAAGCAGCTGCAGAAAAACAGCAGGGAGCACAAAAACTTAAAGGTATGCAGTTATGCAGGCATGCAGAAGACATGTAAAACAGACCAATTTGTCTGGTCTCCTTGCCATAACTTCACCTGATCTTTCTTCCCGTTTCCAAACCCTACTCCATCGTTCTTAAGCTCCTATAAAATGGGAGATTTACCTGGCTGCATGCTTCAGWGGAGTGCCTTGCTATGTGGGTGAGGATGTGCAGTATATCCAGGACTACTGTTGGAACAGGTCGCACCACCTCCAGGATGTACCTCAGCCGGTGCTGGATCCGTGTCTTCAAAAGTCCCTGAAAGGTGTTAAAAAAAAAAAATTCAAAAATCTGTTATGCTCTAAACAAGTGCTCTCTGCACTTCAGTTGTGGGAAGTCAAAAGCAGATTCAATTACATCTTCTGCAGAGACTGTTTTAAAATTAGCAGTTATGAAACAAATAAGTCTCTTTGGATTTGCAAGAATGCTGGCAAATGAGCAAGAGTTATCTGAAGAAAGCAGGAACAACTGAACTTCTGAATCAATCCACCAGCTGGAGGGGTTTGGATATTCGGGTTTTGCAGGCTATAAAACTTAAGTGAAAGAGAATCGGGAAATAACCTTCTCTATAAAAGACTATTAGGGAAATAAGCTTCTCTATAAAAGTCTATTAAAATCTACTGCCAGTGAAGAAGGTTCTCATGTTCCTGGAATAATTTTGGCTAGACACCACCTCCAGCTAATGCAGCACTCTGTCTGATAGTACCTGTCATGTCAGAGAAAGTTGACAGAAACAAAGAACAGACATTTTGCAGTAAGAAAAGAGGTGCATAGGGATTATGTGATTTTTTTTTTTTTTTTTATGATCAGTGGTGGTGCCAGGAAACAAATCATCAGTTTATGTAACACTGTGATGCATTCCTGGCTCTGGGAAAAGGAACATCCATAACACCTGAGTTAGAATGACTGATAGCTTTAAAAATCTGCAGCCAAGCAAGTCTAGGCCTGACCAAGTTCAGCAGCTAGTTTAAATACTCTTTTTCCAACTGTGTGAAAAATTGAGTCATAGCAGCAGGTGTGAAATGGCACAGCAGTGGGAACAGAGGGGAATTTTATCCCAAATACTTTCTGAGTTCAGGCCACTCAGAACAACCTGAATTAAGCTGAACCATGCACAATTCTGTGTTTACAGAAGCACAAACTGATCTCCTGTCTATCTACAACTCTTTTGATAACTTTTTTTAAGTGACACACACCTAGCAGAACACAACTGAAATAATGAGGCCTCTAACCAAATGCCYAAGTACAGTAATTCATTCACCCAGTGATGCTTATAGACCAAGTGTCATTTGTACACAAGCTCAAGGACAAGGATGAAGTAAAGTGATAACAGGTTTTAATGACTGCAGCAGGCAAGAGGGGTGCATCAGCTCCACCAAGGCTGAGTTAGAGATAACAAAGTTTGCTATTTTTAGATCTCATAAGAAAAATACGGGATTAGGCTTAAAATGTGGCAGGAATTCCTTCCAAATGCTATAAAACTCCTAATCTGAGAAATGCAAATATGACATTTGGGGAAATGGTAAGTAGCCCATTTATGTCAAATAAAAAAAGAATATCACTGTAAAAATCTACTAGTTCTGAACTATCTAGCTGTAATATTCTTGTTTGACTTTAAAAAAGAGMATACAGACATTTTAATAACAGCTGGGACCTTTCCACTTTTAACTCAAGTATGAGAGCCTGAAAATCATGCCTATACACAGTCTTTCAGCACATCTTACCAGGTTATCAGTGTGTTGTTATCAAATTCCCCAGAGGAAGTTAAGAGATATTAATGATACTGAAATCACACAAGTCCAGTCGCAACATTTTTAGAGACCAATAGAATTATCYTCCTGGTAATATATGACAGAAACAACCAACAGCCAGGTAACAGTTCTTTTTCAGAATGTTCCTGTCCAGCCTCCACAGGAGGGTAAATATTTCAGCAGCACACACAGCACTGAGTGCTGAGCCTATTTTCCTAAAAAGATTCTGTGTCTAACTCTGGGCTTACCTTTACAACATCATATCGGGCCACATCTGGGTCTGGCTTGTTTTCATCCTTTAATTTTTTATCTTGAGATTTTTCTGTTCCATTTAACTCTTCCTCTTCCTCCTCTTCTTCCTCCTCATTGTTAGGGACAAAGGGAAATGCAGCCATCCCTTGGTACCATGAGAAAGTCCAATCAAGATATTTCTATAAGGAATGTTAAACAATATAAAATAAAATTCTCGCAAAGAAAGACAAAAAGACAAAGATGAAAACTTTACAGGGATGTTTTTGATTATGGAATGCTTTATTGATTCCCATATAATCCCAAGAAAATGTGAACACAATAAAAGGTATTCTAAACATATACAAGCAGAATTCAAYGCTTTTTCAGGGAAATAGTTTTAGCCTGACACATACACACTCGGAAAAATATTAAATTACTGTGATGTGAAATAAATTCACTACACAGCTAACAGAAATTTAGTTTAACTAAAAAAAAAGTAAATATATAAATAAATAAAACAATCACCAAGGCTCAAAGCATTAAACTGCAATTTGGTGTTTATTGGCTATATTCCCATTTCTGGACCTGTGTGAAACTTAGGTCACAAATAACACAGGAAGACCATGCAAAAATTGTTATGATAAAATAAAAACTGGTCTATTTGTTCATGYTTGCTTCACTTTTGTTTGAACATCCCTCAGCTTAAGCAAACTTAAAACCTCTTTTTTGTTCACAGATTATGACAGTGTTAGGTACCCTCAAGMTCTAGGGAAATAGCCCAACTAGGCTACTAGTTTCCATTCTTCAGAGAGGAGATTGCTCCCATAACAGATGTACTTCCCCCAAAATGTTTTAGAATATGAAAGACAGCCAAATCAAATGCTTGCCCTGCTTAATAACTGCTATAATTTTCCATTTCCTGTGCCCACAATCAGAAACAAGTACCACATTAGTCAGAAAAGCAGTGGTAGATTTCAACTGCCAAGTGCTACCAAGGAAGCACAAGCTATTATCAGACATTCAAAAAACCTAAAAACAACACAATATTAACTAAAGATGGTGAGTGAATGGCATGGTCAGAAAAGGCCTGACTGGAGGGGATGAAGCCATGAGTCCATCTGGAATAGAGCTTGGAACGACAGTCTTCCTTCCACCAAGAGAAGGAAAAGCATCATACAAAGTAGCTGGGTTTTCAAAGAAAACCAAAGGAAACTTGCTTCCTTCCCACAGCCATCGATGGATGAACAAAACCTTCAAAGAGCATAATGTTTATGTGTGTTGATCTTCTGTGTTTACAGTGTTTATAGTCTTACAAATTCCGGAGCAAAAGGCCAGGCTTCGAACCCTTTGCCTTTCTCAAAGACCTTTTGAAATTCAGCAACACAAGACTCTAGGAAGGACTGTCTGAGCTAGAAAATCTACTGACACAGCATTCACAGAGCTGATTCTGGCAGCAACAGTCAGCAATCCCTGCTTGCACAACACATCACACTATAAGCTTTGATCTGAAAAATCAGAGCACTGCAGACACTTAAAAACCAGAGTAACACCACAAGAAAGAAAAGTACATTAAGAAGCTGATTCATAGTACTAATTACCTACCATGAGTGGGCAGAACTCATCTAGCAGAACTCCATTAGGTTCATAGATAGAAAAGTTGCAAAATACAGACAAAGCTACCTGCTCCTTCATTTCTCTTGCCTCCCACCAGGGATTGCTCTACAGGCCTGGTAGAAGCTGCAGCAGGCTTCTACCCCTTCTCCTCTACCACCAGCGCCTTTGCAGTCAGCCACAAAAGCAGCTCTCAAAGAAGGAACTTGTAACACAGCCCACAGCAAGCTTGGCCTACAACAGACTGCTTCTGTCCAACCAGGAGTACATCATAATCTTGCCACTCCAGGTTGTCTAGTAGCCCTAAACATCTGAAAGTTTCAACCTTCTAACGGGTGAAAAARTATCAGTGAGAAAATAAACACATGAAAAGCCAAAATTAGGTATGTATCAGTGTTACGAAAACACATGGGAACAGCAGAAAAAGGACAGTGAGAGAAAAAAAAAAAAACCCAGCATAATTATGAGGCATAAGGGATAGCACAGAAAGTATTAATCTGTTATGAAGAAAAGCTATTAAATAGGAAAACAACACAAGAGGCCATATTAAAAAAAAAAGTTCTACACATACATAAGTAGTGGCCTGATTCAGATTGCAAAGGTATCAAAAGAAGAAACTCAGCAGCCTACACTGAATATAATCATAAGGCAGAGCAAATTCAAACAAGAGGGAAAAAAGATGCCAGAATCTCTCAAACTGGGATAACACATTCCATTGTCTTTCTTAAAGCACAGCAATGACATTCTATTCACCATTAAGCTAACACATCCAGTAAACTTTTGCTCAAGCTACACCATGTCTTTTCATTCTGATTCCTGTAAAAAGTTCAGCATAAAATCAAACCCAAGCTCTCAATGATTGTCTTACCTCATCATCAAGTGACACCAGCAGAGCCCGGAGAGCACCAACAGATGCTGCCATGACATTATCCACAGCATCATCCAGGGAGAAGCGCAGCAAGAACAGAAAGCCAGCGTCAAGCAGCAGACGCAGAACGCTGCCCTTCAGTGAGGAGGCAAACTCTCCAGCCCGAGCCTGCAAAGTGTGCCAGACAGAGCCGGGGTTAAGGCTGTCTCATCTCAGCTGGATACATCTCTGGGCTGTCACATCTCAACATTCTGTATCTTTGCATCTTTCCACTTCTACTGTAAAGCTGCTAAACTGTTTGGAGGTTATTTTTCCTTTACTTTCTCTTCCATTCATTTGACAGAGGCACACAACTACAGTTCCTTAATGCAAGAAATGCTTCATTCTAAAGTCTGGACCCATCTTTCTACTTCACCCTGTTCTGTCCCATCACCCTTCTCAAAACCACTGTGTTTCTTCTTCTCTGACTCCAGTGCCTCTAGGGAGAATGTTAGCACTTTTCCCCTAGTTAGGTGGAAATGTGTACAGAAGTATTCATTTTGCTTTCTGCTCTTGGCACATTGCTCTATGAGTAGGCTTGGGTTTTTTTCACCTCCTACAGAAAATGCACATCATGAAGCTGGCTCAGACAACACGAATGAAAGGGTCAATGGCAAGAATAGGTTTGTCACAAAAGTAACATTAAAATAAAACCAATTTGCAACCATATTTACAAGAAAACTGAAATTGCAGCACTGCTGTTGAACAGCACTTGAAACAATATGTTGCAAGAACAACACTCTGGAACCATCCAGAGAAACCTGCATCTCAATTTGTTTTATCCCAACACTTAGCTCATCTAACAGTAAAGATCCTCAGTGAAACAGAATGCCCTGCTGGTGACTTTGCTCATCTTCACTGAACAGCAGAAAACAACTAGTACCAGAGAATCTGATCCACCAGAAACTTGAATTATGGGGAGAAATTCCATAAAGTGACTTACCCTTTGAACAATACGACCTAAGACCTGTAGAGCCAGTGTCCTCTGTTGTGTAACTTGGCTGCGAGACAAATGAAAGAGTTCTTGCAGAGAATAACCAGCCCTCTAAATGGCAGGAGGAAACAAAACAAAGAAATAAAAAAAACCCCTTGGCTACAGGTAAAAACAGGCCCCTTAAAATGAGATTAACTTTAAAATACTGAACAGAAGATAAACTGCAAGCCAGTGCTGTTTGCCGCTTTGTGGCAATTGCAGAAGGGATTCTAATCTTAGATGTCACAGGAGAAAATTGAACCTCTTAAGGAAAGGAAGTATATGCACCTTTTTCCAACACCACAGAACCTTAATAGCAGCAAAAAGAAAAAGCATTAAAAGTTTTCTGGAAGTAATGCAGTTAATACAGGCAGACACAATTTGGCCTCAGGAGTTTGTTTCTAAAGAAAAATTACTGCATTTTTCTAAGGGGTTTTTAATCACTAAAAATCTTGACACAAAAGGAATCTACTAAATCAAACACAAAAACCAGAAATGTGTACCTTTTCTACTACATTACACCCACCTACCTCTGCCTCTTCTCCATGGTGGTGCAAGCCTAGATGTGTTGGCAAATCAGCATCTGCAGGAATCAATTCTCCTTTTAAACTGAATCGAGCTTGCATTCCCTACAGCAAAAGGGTGGAGGGAAACTATTATTTCTATTGCTGTCCACTCCATTCATCTCTTGAAACAACATTTTTTACATCACCTGCTGGAAGATGACAGTTCAAAAACTCTTCAGGCCTCAAATTCTTTCTAAAAAAAGAAGTACTCCTAWCTTCCCTTTTTTCTCAGTTTTACACCTGTTTCATCCCAGATTACAACRGCTAGACTCACTTCCTAGTACTCGAGTGCTACAGAGTGATTGTGTATCATTGCATCCAAAGATAGAGTAGCCGGAGGACTTGTTTTTGAAGGCTTCAAATCTGTTACTGCTGAGAAGCACAATCCAGAACAAAAATGCAAAGTATCAGTTTCTGCTTTCAAACCTTTTTGGTTTTTTTCTGGCGAGGTGGGGGCAAATCCTTCATCCATTCCAGCTTCTCAAACTCTACATTGTCCATGTGAATCCACTCCTTCCTGGGCTTCACAGGCAGATCATCATCTTTGTGTGGGGAGAAAGAAATGTCAGTCTTACCTTCCAAGGCAGGGATGAAGGAAATACTATTCCTTCCTTGCCAAGCTACTTGGCTTAAAGACTGCATCAAATACAATATTATGTAAAATAAAAAGAAAACTATTTTCAAACTGACTGTTGTCTCATGCATAAACTTCAAAGGTTTAAAGCAATTTTCATCTTTCAKGAGAGCAAAAAGAGGAAGTAAACAGCACTGTAATGAAATTCACAAAGCTAATTTAGGAGAAGCTGAACAGAAGTCAGGATACAAGCAAGGCAAAATTATCAGAACCAGCGCAGAAAAACCAGCCCTGCTTTTGAGAAAGCAAACTAATATCCAAGGAAGAGAGTGTTAGGGGGGACATGAAATGATTGAAAAGTATTAATGCAGAGAGTGCAAGCAAATTATCAGAAGTCAGTATGATTTCAGCCTAGATACACTGAAGACAGCACAATATTTGTGCTTTGGTTGCATTTGTGACTCTGCCCTTCAGTCTCCCTCCTTAAAGACTTGAGGAGATCATCTTGGRAAAAAAAAGATCAAAACAGCTGGAAATTTGCACAGCTTTCCAGAGGCAACTCAGTAGGTAAGCTGGAGAGTTGAACAAGAATTTCAAAGGTGCAAGTACTAATGGAAGAAACTACTAACTTAACTTTATTAAGAGCTTTGACAACATGAATTTGAGAAAGAAGGCATTTGTGCTTGACATCACAACAGTTGCCCTAGGAAAGAGACATATAAGCATGTGGAAGAATCTCACAAGTAAAGAGACCAGAGAGATAGAACTAGGAAAGGTCAGGCTTTGCTACTAGGATACTACCCCAAACCAGAATGAGAAGAGATGAGCTAGGAAGTCTTTGCTATCTGAAAAGAAAGCACATATAAGGACTGCAACAGGCAGTCTAAAGGTGTGAAAAGCATTAGCACAACTCCTGCTGGAGCAGCCCAGAACTCATCTGCATTGCAGCTATTAATCCCAGTACTCCGGTCTTCTCTTGCAAGGAACAAGGAGTCCCACTGAGATGCTCTTCTTCCATCAGATCTTTTCCTGCTGATAACTGACCTGAAACCTAACCTTTTACTTTCCGCCAATTAGCAGATAAACTTTCAAGAAGGGCACTCATCCTCTCCAGGATGAAGCTTCACCCTTATGATCAATGTGGTATTGAATCAGGCAAGGAACCAAGCACAGAGTTATCTTGCTCAGCCAGAAAGCTGTTCCACAGAATTTCAGCCAAAGGCTCAGCATGCATTTTAATTGAAGAGAAGGAAAAAGCATGTGAAATGTACGAAAGTGGAATGTTTGTGGGTGGTAGATGCAACATGAGAGGAAATAAAATCAGCAGAAAAATAAAATATATTGACATTTGTAATTTAACAAAATGTTTTCTCTATTAATCACTAAATTGATAGGGTTGAGCTAATCAATCTATGAATAAGATTATGCATGTTACTACCAACCCTTAGTAGTATGTTCTTGTCAACAAGAAAAGATGGATATATATTTCAAGACATCAGCAGACTGTTATGGAGAAATCCCTTTAGAGAAGAACAAGCTGGCAGTGYGAATGCAACATTTGCACTGAACTTTTTCAAACTTGGGTTTCATTAAAGGCTAACACCTAAACTCTTCACTTTCTGCTTTGCTTTCCCTTTTTTCTCAGAGCCAGAATTTACTTTTCTATTTGATAAGGTTACAAGTTGCTGGATAAAGGCTTCACCATCTTGTTTCTAATTGCAGTGGCCTTTTACTTCATTAGAGAGGCAGGTCTGACTTTTGAGCAATCATACTGCTTTGTGTCATCAATGGAAATTCAGCATGACCATTTCTGCTGGTCTATTTATGGTGAGCTTACTTCCGAGTATAAACAGATGCTGAAATCCCAACAATAAGTACTAATGTCAAACTCATTTTTACATTCCTGTTGACCAAGAGGGCTGCAGGCATAAACTCAGGTATGGGAATGGCTTCCCTTGGTCTTTTAACTATGTTTCAGCTCACCCTTTCTTTGTTGTTTCAAATAGCCTGGGAAAACTCTTTTTTCTTGTGCTCTTCTGTAGGAAGCAAAAGATGTCAGAACACAATGTTCTAAAYACTGAGCTATTCCCAAAAGCATTACTATTACCATTACAGGCTGAACAACACACTTCTATTGCTCCCAGGAGAGCAAAAGATGTCACTTAACCTGGTGCTACTTGTGCACTCAGTTGTTCTAGGACTAAAAAGAACTAAAAATAGTCCTTTTGATTAAGATGGATTTGTGGAAAAGTAAAACTCATAGAGAAACTGCAAAAGGACCGTTCAGTGAAGTGTTTTCCTCAAAAAGAGGCTGARCTTGACTTCTCCTGCACATGTACACACACATATATATACTGACAGACTCATCCCTCTCATCAAGAAAATGGTACATGCTTGTTATYTCTTGCAAACATCAAGCTGAAGTCCTGAGGTGATTCAGAGACTTCTTTAATTGGTCTGTGGATTACACTGAAACACAAAGGATGCATTAGAAGAGAGGATCAAGAGATGGAGAAAGCCAAAAATTGACTTGAAATTGGGGGAAATTATGTTGCAAAAGTGTGGGGAAAATGCCAATGGGAGCCTAAAAATCACAACAGAGAAAAAGAAATATCTAAAGAAAATATGCAGTGAGGAAAGCAACAATAAGAAAAGAAGCCTAAAGGGAAAGCTCTTCATTTCTGTGCCATGAGAATGTATGGGGTTGCTCTAGTTGCTGGAGGTACAGGCATATACTGAGCATTAAAGGGTTCTGCCATAAGAGGCCACAGCTCTGTAGCACTCCACAAAAAGCAGAACATTCTACATCTTCATACAAGCCCCTCCATCCAAAGCACAAAGAAAATAACTCCATCCTGTGAAAATCAGTGTGTGGCTTCTGAGATACAAGACACAGGCYGGGGCCATCAAGAGCAGTGCCATGCTAAGACATAAATGCTCTGTATTCAGTCTCCCTGAAGTGAGATTGATTGTCACCTCTGTRCTATCCTCTGACAAATCATTAACACTAAGCTACCCAAAACCCTTTTGTCCCCAACCAGTACCAGTTAATTATTTAAGCAGCAGAAAAATCTCACACCCTTTTCTGTTTCCCCATTCACACAACTGAACACAAGAGCTGGGATGYCCAGTTTAACACATATTTTCCCTTTGGAGGCTTCAGGACAAATTTCAAAGACAAAGCAAGGTCTTCCAATGAACAGCTCACTTCCATTACATAGGCTATCACCTTTCTAATCTGTGGAGCCCATCTAGAGATGTTCTTTCTTGAACCCAAAATATTTACTTTTTAAATATCACTGTAAAATTCAGATTTGGATCACTACAAAGTAGCACAACAATCCAATGTGAATTGATGTAAACACCGCATAAACCTTACATTTCTGTTGAGAAAATTTACAATATACACTTTGTTTCTTACCTGTGATTTCTACCTTCACATTTTCTTCTTTCCTTACAGATTCTTCCAGAGCTGACKCTTGTGTGGAAAGAGATGATCTTACACCATGCTGAGCCACAGGCAGAGATTCCACAAACTCCTCCGGTTTGTTCTGTTCCATTTTTAATTCCTTTTTCTGGCCTTCATTGTTAYCACGTTGCGATTTCAAGAAAGCAACTAAACTTGGATCTGCAAGTATTGACAAAGAGACAGACAGAGATGTGACAAAGTCTCAAAATACTTCATATGCCTATAGCTCCTGCTATTTCTGTTTCAGTTTTTTCCACATGTACTCTTCCTCTGTACCAACTGTCACTTCTCTTCAAACTCAGGCACTTCACTGTTTTATGACCTCCTAGGCACATAAACTGGGTGCAACTGACTGGTGAGGAGACACTAGAGAAAGACGTGACAAATGTCTTTCAGGGTAAACCAACCACAAAAATTCTATTTTCTCAGCTTCCAGATAAAGATAATTGCTTCCTTTCCCCTCACGGACACTCAAATGGCACATCCAAAACTAGACTATTAATTGTGGAGAGAATTCTGGTCCATGATTTACACAAAGGACYTGACAGTTTGCCTATCCTGTCTGTGGACCACCCAGTGGTATCAATCTGAACACTAGGAGAATACACAGGACAGACACTATAAAAAGAATTACCTGCTCTTTACTGAACTGCATGAGAACTGCAAGTCATAATTCAAATATTATGTTACAAGGAGACTTTTATTGGTTCTGTACTATAAACTCCCCATTCCAACTATGGTCGGACACCACCCAGTAAAAAGAGCCATTCTCTTCATGCTTTGAAGAGAAACATTTGGGAGGTAGATGTGTTTAGAAGGACAGATTATATTCATATGGCTCTAAGATCATAATTTTATTTTCAGATCTGCTACAAATATTCCACATAATTTTGGATGGAGTACACTGTCTCTGAATACTCTTCATCTAGAAGATGGTGTTGGGATGCTTATGCTAGAGGTGAACAGTAAGAGATTGTGCATTGTGCCTCAACAAGGTACAGAAATACTCCAGTAAGCAGTGTCAGAGATATATAAAGTAGAAGAACATAACACCTACAGTGGTTATTTATTCTTTGAAGGACAAAGGACAAGCAGTTGAGAAATGCTCTGTACCGGAGATAAGTAATCTCAAAAATTACTCTGAAACATGTATCCCACACTTATGATTGCTGCACACTCTCCTCAATGATACAGTTTAAACCTTCACTGGTGAAGGACAGGCATTCAGCCCAGTCTCATTAAAGCATTCCTATTTTTTTTCTGAATGCAAGCAGACATCTCAGTTGCTCACACTTCATTGTACACAGCAAGGGAAGACTGTATTCATTATTTCATCATTTCACACAGAGACAAAAAAAGGCACTGATCATGTCACTCTGTGCACAGTATGTCAGAAACCAAGCCTACTTCTGTCCAGAGTCTCCATGAACAAAACCAGAATGGTACCAACAATAAGGCATTGTCCAGCACAGCACTGCGTACCCATTCTCGTATTTCACACCATGGAGAATCATCTGCYTCATAACTAAGGACGTAATTCAGGGACTGGACAGCATCTAACACCCACAAATCATTTACACTCCTGAATATGGAGAAAAAGTCTCCTTGATTCACAGCTCTGTGCCTGAGCAGTTCCTAAATTCATCTGTAAGTCAGCAATTTAGTTTAGGAGTTGCTTCATCTTGCATAGTTCTCTATCCAGATATTTTGAGAATTCCAAAATTACTCCCAGTTTCCTTAGGGCCTCAAAAGACAAAATATATACAATTTTAACCTACAAGGCATATAAAAAATACATTGCTTCAGAAAATATTGTTCAAAAATACTTAAAATACATTCCATCCTTTTTAAACACTGTGAAGTATTCACTTCACTAAAATCCCAAAGGACAGAGTGGTGGGCACAAAGAGYAAAGATCACAAATCAGTCACAAGAAGCAAGTGCCTGAACAGGGTATTTTTCACACACATGCCATTGATATAGGCAGTGAAGCCAAATCAAATACACAGGTCTCTAAATGAAAAATGTACCTAAAAAATCTGGCTGCAATTATTTTGTGCAGTTCCTTTGCCACCTTTCCAGTTATATCCATGCTGCTTGCAATCAAGTCAAGATCATTAATATGATTTTTAAGCTGAACCCACAAGGRACTTCTGCATATAAAAAGCAGGTTGCACCTAAATTTGATGCTAGAGGACYTGAAATCATGAGAATTTAAAAAATCCTTGTCTGCCACCTACATCTATACATCTGCTCTTCCTGAGCATATAAATTCATCAAACCAATGCCAACAAGTGTTGCAGAACCCCAGATCACACAAAGTCTTACCAAACATACCACACTCAGTGTTCTCCTCTACTTTGTCATCAGCTGCCAGTGACAGGCATTCCCAGAGCACCACTGTGGACAGGATTCCAAACCAGACACCAGACCCCTGCCAGAATGCCTGCACCAAACAGCCTGGTAACTGAARCACTTTTTCATAAAGTCAAGGCTAGGTGTAACTTTTTCCGCTCTACCAAGTAGAGGTTTGAATTGAAATCTCCTACACGCCCATATGTTCTCCCTATCCAGGTACTGACAGTTTTGGCCCAAGATTTAGGTATTTTGGAGAGGAAGACCAAGGGCTCTATCTCATCTCAGCATTGCTATGACACTGCTTTCAGAGAATCACATTTTAGGATTCAAACATGTATGTGCAATTATGTACTTGGAGTGCAAAGCAAAAAAGTGCACGGATCATCTTAACCCACAGCAGAGGGGCAATGAGAAAGACTTAAGCCAAACCAGCCCTCACTGAGAAATAAACACTCTTTAATTTCTTCATACTTAGTTCTTATTCATAAGCTACTGACACAACAGTGATGATGTGAGAGTGAATGTGAGAATGAGAAGCATGATTACCCACATATGGAACGAGCAGGAATTCCAAGCTCCTGTCATTGACTCATGAATTTGCTAAGACTTCGGGACATCTACACATTCAATAAATTGCCTCATCTCTAGAACTGACCCTGGGAAGCACATACCCAGCTGAGYCAGAAGCCTCGCCTGCTCCTGCAGGATCTCTTCCTCAGACATGGACCGCAGCTTCTCCAAGTTCTCTTTGTGAATAGCTTGAGCTTCCTGCTCACTCTTTTGGCTTCCAAGACCTTCTCCCGTTATGAGACAAGGACGCTGAGAGGTCAAAAAGTCACCATCTTTATCTGTAAGAAGCAATAGAGAAAGCAGTTAATGATCTGTGTCTACAGCATCATGAATAAATCTCCATTCTATCATTAACAGGCTTGTGCAATTTCTCCTTTTATTTTTTTACCTTGGTAGTAAAATTAGAATAGCTAATAAGCTTAGCTTAGCTTCATACAAAATTAAAATATTTGTGCTTTCATCCCATGTCACAACAAACATGTTGACATCATTTCCAGCTTGTTTCTTTGGGAGCCTGAGGAGGGATGGCAGGGGAAAAGAACTGCATTTCTTTAATGCAAAGGAACAGCGAGAAAAAGTAAACTGGAGCATAATTCACAACTGATGCATCAGAACATTCTTCCAAGCTAGCGAATACTAGATTCTTTCTCTGCCCAAGAATGCCTGAACCCACATTTGTATGTCAGGTGAATCATGACCTAGTAAATATCTGCTGAGTAAGAAAAAATTAAAATTATTACGTAAACAATACTTCCAGAGTGATACTGGATCAATTCTCAACACAGACATTTTTGCTTCTAACAACACCAAGTACTTACCTTTAAGGGTTAAACATATTACAAGTTACAGCAAGGGGCATTTTTCCTACCCTGAACAGAACTAAGTCCCCTTCTTCATCATGTGATCTAAATCAATTTTAAATGTTAATTTCATTTAAAAATAGCACCATGTAACTGCTCCTTCGGTCAATGTGAGACCCRCTACACAAGGACCTGACTTTGAGGCTTTAGTCCTTATGTTTTATTCATATGTTCCACATATTGATTTGGAACACTCCTATGCCCCTAAACCAGCCAGCCCTGAAAGCACCAAATTCCCAGTAAAACAGCAGCAATGACACTGATCATAAAATCAGGAAGATTTGATGTCATTTCCACAGCAGTTGTTTTGCAYATTGAGCAGAAAGAGACAAGAAGACAGAGTGACCTGGCAAAAGCTCCCACAAGCTTCCCACCAACAACAATTAAACTAAAGGTTACCAGGGACAAACATGTTGTTACCAGTAGAAATTAAGGTTCTTCTTTAATTTTTTTGATTTAATTTTAAGGTCCCCAACTCTTGTCTTGCTTCTAGTGATTGTGCCACAACAGTCTCACTGAAGAGGCCAAGCCATTTTGTAACCTCTCTGTTGTGCTACTACATTTTAGAGGCATTCATGTTCAAGGGGATCACAGCTATAAGACTGCTCTATTTCCCTTTGAGAATTCTCCAACAGAATTACACGTCCAATTGTAACAGGACATGTAGAAAGCACAGTATGGTGACCAGGATGGTGGATTTATCCCCACACAGCACACCTGTCAGTTTTCTTACCAATTCTCTGATGGGGGCAGGGTTGACACAAAATTTGGCCAAACTGTGGTAATCTTCAAATGACATTTGGCCCCTATTTCAACGTGAAAAAGAGGGTATCAGGGTAAAACCCAGACACACTGTGGTCCTAAGCAAACTGGGCTGCCCAAGACAACACAAATTTAAAACAGAAAGTCTGGAGATGCTGGTAACAGTTGAATTGGCTTCATCTTTCCTTGTCACKTTGCTGTCAGACAAGTAACTGCTGGAGGTGGCACTGACTCATCAGCACTGCTTCACAGCACTCCTTATGGAGCAAAGCCACAGTCTCATGGCAGCAGACCTGGTGATGGAAAATTGAGCTTTCAAACCCACACCACAGTGCTCCCAAATACTCTCAACACAAGAACCACCCTCTTCCTAAAATTGTGGAAATCAATGACAAAACAAGAAAAACTTCACATGTAACAGAAAGGAAAAGGAGGACAAGAACCTTGAAAAATAAAACTATATGGCCCTGTGTGAAGCAAAAAGGAAATCAGTGAGAAAGCTAACCCAATTTTTAGAATGCACCTCAGAATTTCCTCTCTGKAATTTTTAGTTTGCATCTCAGACCATTTCAAATCATTGCCACAATACAGACATTCCAAGTGACCTTGAGATTCCTAAACTGAGGACAACAATGTTACCCTAATTTAAAGATATGGTGCTCTGATGTTATGGGTTACTAAGGCTATGTAACTACAGTCGGCTGGATAAGCAGAAACTTCTCCACTTACCACCCCTGCTGCTGGGGGTCGGTGCCTCTCCCGCGGATCCCTCAGGATCCAAGGCATCCGGAGCAGCTGATGTTACTTGCACGCACTCGGCAGCAGAGGGAGCCATCGCTGCCCTTTCCGCAATCTTTTTCGCTGCCATCTTCTGTGCAAAGATGCTTTTTCTTCCAGTTCCCAGCTGCACCTGCAAACAGGAAAACCATGTGTCTGCTTTCCTCTCCAGAGTCCCCCTGCACACCTGCCACTTACAAATGTATAGAGCTGACCCTAAAGATGCCCTCAGATCAGACTTTGGGACATGGTATAGAGAGGCTGTTGGCAGTCACCTGCCCTTTTCTGTGCATGTGTGTTTTTTAACAGTTTACTGCTACAACAGAGAGACAAAAATATCGATGTTTTTGGCACCTAGTCAAGGAAGATGATTAATTATAAGTGAATTCAAGCAAGGCAAATACACCTAAAATGTCACCAAATACAACAGTTCCAGCTTTCATGCTGTTTGGAAGCTCTGCACAGCTGAATACCTTGGATTTCTGAGTATAAACAGGGCTGTACATCACTGTGCTCACCACATGCTTGGAACAGGCTTCTTATAAGGTGATTAGAGAGCAGCAGGATGAAGATATTTACACAGTAAGAAGTAAGCAAGTGGTGCTAAAATAATCCTGGCTAAATTACTGTGTTGCTTGCCTAGATGATGGAGGTGCATGGCTCTGAAGAACCTTTCACAGGACACACAGGAAATCCAAAGCAGACTAAGCAAAAAATCTCTTGCATGTCCCCAGACCACAGTAGAAATTTAAAAGGCAATCTGAACATTTGGTAGCAGTTTTGTGCACTTCTGGAACAGATAAACAAAACTGGTAGTTTAAAAAGTATTACCCTTGCCTCTCAAAAAAGCTGTCCTTCAAAATAATCTACCTCCTCAAAGCAACCACAGCTGTCAATCACATATCAATTCCCAGCATCTGACTCCCACTCAGCTAGCAATCCTTGCTACTACAGCAACGACTGATAATAGCAACCACAGCTTCCAGTTTTACAGCCTCAGAAAAAAATGTCAAAATCAAAAAAGCTGCTGAAAATAACCTGAGCAACTGTATTCAGATGTCATGCCAAGAGAAACCAGGTGCAACTTCAATAAGAACCTGGTGGACAAATTAACAGAGATTGCTCCTTAGAAAAAAACCAAGCAGAACAGGGTCAATTATATTACAGCACTGCAGATTTGATCCACCTTACTGAAATCAGCCAAAGGAGGCCAAACCAAAAGGATTCCAATGTTATTTAACTACAGAGTATGGAGTACCCACTTGATGGCAGCAGGATAGAACTCTCTCCTACACTCAGAWGGCAATGCCAGAGGTATGTTGAGCTCATTTATCATCTCCAGCATATAGTCAGTTATAGTGAGCCCTACCAAGCCCCACTATGCATTAGGCTTTACTGGGAGAAATGTTAATTGTTAATGAAGTTGGCATAGAACATCTGCTCCTTACCTCACTTTTTATCTCAGAGCGGTGAAATGTTCTTGGAAATGGATCTCCTGTGGGCACCGGCATGGTAACTGCTGCTGCACTTGTGTCTCGTTCCTGAAGAAAAAAATTCAAACCCTGTAAAACCATTTCAACAGCCAGACATATTTATATCATATAGCTGAGAGCAGACTCAAAATCTCTCAGCTCYGCAGCTCACATCACCATCAGGCTCAGAACACCTTGTGCTTATTTAAAGACAAGGTGAGGCGATTTTCCAAAAGACTGGGCTGCCAACTCCACATATCACTCAAAGCAGATAAAGGAAAACCTAGGCCAGTGCAATGAGAACATCTCCCTTAGTGCCCAGAAAAAACTCATCCAAATCCACACTACAGCACATGCCTGCATGCATGACCTGCAGGCAGTTGGTGCTGGAGAGAAGACCTGAATCTACATTTAACTGACAGAAAAAACACACACAAAGAGCTTTTTTCTTTCAAGGTGCTCCACAACACTGGTCTACAGTGCTGCTTCATTACCTTGTAGAAATAAAAAGCAGCATCAGAACCCTTCATCTGTGATTAGTTCACAGTATTCAAAAAAACAAACATTAAATCACCACAGAAAAAAAACAGACATACAATAATTTTGCTGAAGACTGCTGTAATGTGTCGATCATGACTGTCCAATCTTTCCTCTGGATCTTCATCCTCAAAGTGRACACCAGCACTTTTGATCTTGGACTTTTTTGGAGGAGCTGGAGTTAGAGTTGGGAGAGTATCAGGAAAACCTGAGAAGGGGAAGCAATAAGAAGAAAAAAAAAGTCAAGTTACTGATATATAAGTACTGTGCATTAGGTACCAGACCAAGGCTTCCTAAGAGCACCTTTTATTTCTCTGATCAGAAATAAAAATGAGGAAGCAATAAGACAATTAAGAATCCCCATCTCTAACTTAGACTGTGTAGTAGAGAAACACGCTTGAAGATTTTATTATTCATGTATTAACACACGGTCTTTCCAAAGAGCTCCACAAACAAGAAAGGGTACTGAAGTCTGACTCCAAATATTAAGGGAAGAAACATGGCTGTACAGAAACAAATACTGTCCTTGCAGGTTGTGTTGAGACATAGAAAAGCACATTTCCACTGACAGTTGTTTAAAGTGAGGGATTTGTATGATCATGAAAAGTCAAAGCCTTCTTTCCACCCGCTATTAACAGATCATATTTCCTCTACCTGGAACTAAGTACCGCAACATTTATATTGTTGCTTTTAAGAAAGCATCTTGAACTTCTGAGATTATCAAGCACATGACAAAAGTGTTACAGCTACTACGGATGGAGAAAACAAAAGCAAGCCAGATCTGCTGGCTTAAAATCAGAGCTGCTAGGAGAGGTAAATCTCAAAAACACTGAGAACAGGGTCAGGATAGATGGCAAAATAAGCAGTGAGCATCCAAACAGTACAAATTACAGAAAACCTCTTGCTGGCAAGGTACCACAGACAGCTAATAAATGTGGACTAAGGCAACAAAGGTGTTTCTACTAAATGCTAGTAACACTGGACAAGCTAATCATCCAAAAAAGCTAAGGAACAAACAATACTGCAAGAAGGGCACAAATGCAAGGGAAAAGAAACATTGGGTTTGGAGGGAGGCGAAAGGCAAGCAGCAAGGAACACTGAAAGGCACAGAGAATCTTAGTAATTCAACAAAATAAACAAATTTACCATCCAACATGACTACATCTTTGCTGTCTTGTAGTGGGGGTCTCTCAGCATCTGGGCTCCCTTCATTCCCTTTCCTCTTGTCTGCCTTCTTCACAATCTGCACTGCAGGTGAAGCTCTGGCTGCCAGGAACTGGTTCTGAAAGCGCAGCAGGTCTGCCTCGGACTCCCCAGGCTTTGGTCTTGACAGCATTCTGTCTTCTTGCTCTTGCAGCCCAACCACATGTGCTTTTCACACAGAACCTGAACACAAGGAAAACAGAGGTCGATTTCATGGAGACAGGATGGGGACAGCATGGAAAAATGATTCATTTTTGTCCCACACTTACATTTCTGTATATACTACAGATCCCCTACTTTAGGATCACCCAAAGACACAACTTCTTCAACCAGAGTCCCACTTGAATTGTTTGCCTTGTTCTTCATGGCTGAACAATAGACTAGCAGACAGGCCTACACATGGTCTACCAGCCAGCTAGGAGGTGAATGGCCTCCAGCCACTAAAAAGCCAGCCAAAAAAATGCATCACTGCCAGAATGCCAACCACACGGCCTTCAATTTGCAAAGTCAGAGTGACATCTTGTCCAAGAAAACAGATTTGACTTGTTCAATTATCAATGCCAACCAAAAATCTCTGAGTCACAGCATCACATAAAACTCCCCTCAAGCACACCACCTTCTCCAGATCCCAGCATTAACACCCCTGGCAGGATGCAAGAGCCTATCCATACAGATTTGAACAACACACTCATTGACTCAGTTCTCCTCACTCAAATCTCCCAAGTGTCTTCCTGATGTCAACCTCCTGCTTTCATCCTCTGTCACTGGCCTCTAAATAGCAGAAGCCGTGCTATTTGCAAGCACCTRTATTTCCTGCCCAGGCCAGTTTGGGGTTGAAGAACAAGGGTGAAATATGTAACTGACTTTTACCTCTGTGCACATGACACCTTACCAGGAAGGCAACTGTTTCACCTCCCATTCACCAGGTAGGAAAATATTTGTGACTATTACTCCCCACCTCCCARAGCCTGGGACCAGCAATCCGTTTCTCACAGACAGCAACTAAACTGYCTGSAAATACATTTCACACTCATTTCAATCACTGATCAGCACTAACACTGCAGACTTGGCACCCTCCCACCCTCGGTATGTTGGAATACTTTGTACATATTCAATCTCCTCCACTTTTAAAAGCCCAGCAGGATTCAGGCATGATATATTGTGAAACTGGAAAGGAAAGTGGACATGGATTTTTAAAACCACAGTTATCTGCCATATGGATAGGCAGAACGCATTAGAAAATACAAAGCTTGGAAACAAATCACAGCCTCAATTTCAGACCAAAACAAACTTGGGTCATTGTGCAGGTACAGCCACTGCCCTGAAGCCACTGTTTTCTTTATACCAYTAYCATACTTGATTGTAAAATATGTGGGGAGAAACCWSGTGGMAAAGATRCTCACAGACACAAGAGTTACTGCCTGCAGAAYTTAWGACCTACAATTGGAATATTTAYCCTGTTTTCAGGGRWCTCGTTCTKCGCCAAGGCTGGTTAAATGAGATCCTCTGTGTTCTAAGAGAAAAGGGGGCCAGGAGGTTTTACATTTGGTTTTTGGTTATAGCAAAGGTATTGGTGYAAAACCATCARTCAAAGGCCACTTCAGGCCAGGAAGGGAGGGGAGCACCTGCCATGGTGCCTTGCTACTGTCAGGGAAGGGCCTTACACAAAAACATCTGGGAGGGATCTCACTGTGGCTCTGACTGATGCTGAGAATGCACAAACACTCCCTCCCAGCCCACTCCCCTCCCAACTGCACAGCAAAAACTGCAACCTCCACAGACAGATCCTTTCTTTGTGTGTACTCCTAGCATAAGCGCACACCTACTTGCTGTTTATTTATGGAACTTGCTGCCACAACGGGACTCCCACAGACAGACTTCATTTGCTTGGTCCCTCTTTGATACCCAGAAGGAGCAGAACACGCATCCCAAGCCAAGTGTTCTGTGCCCTTCCATCACAGGCTTCAAAGCCCAAAAGAGGAGGAGGCCAGCATTAACAGGCACAAAATACACACTTGGAAGCAAAGTGTGCTGCTAATCTTTCTGCAAGAAGCCTCCTCCACACACAGCTCTACATAAACTTGTCCAAGTCTTTCCCTATTATAACAGTTAATAAAGAGATACAGTGGGTTCTCAAACTGCCTTTGTGTCTCTGGGAAACTGTCAGCACAGGAAGACAACRAAGCAGCCGCTGTCTAACAAGGTCCGATGTTCCTCCAGGAACCTTTTCCTCAAAGGCTTTGCTTCAATACACGTCGGACTTGCAGACAGAATCAATGTACAGAAAACACTTTGCTTTCTAATGGTACCTTCTTCCACATCCTATGGAAGCCACTRAAGCACATGAGCAACACTCCCTTACCATCAGGAGTCATCATTCCTAACCAGCAGCGCTCAAGGAAATCATGCAAGACAACCGAAAAACTCCTGAGGATCAGCCCTAACCCCAGCACCCTGCAGTCTGCTCACCTCCAGTCTTGCAGCTGGCTACTTAAAGCTCACCACACATGATCTGTTTGCCCACAGGGACCACCAGCCAGCCAGCATAAGCAACACACTGAGATACTGTCCTACAAACACACGAAAGGGATCAGAAATGCTGCCCAAGGACTATGAGCACCTTTACACTGCTCAACATAGTGATTGCTATGTGGACACTATATGTCTTTCTTGATATAATCCAATACTGTTAGGCTTTTTAATTWGTTCTGCCTCATCTGCATTTACAGTGCATTTTTCTTCCATAGTACCAGAGCCCAACATGCAAAGGGAGACTTTTACATCACAGTAACATCTACAAACTACACTCTGTCAAAAGGAAAAGATGAATATGTTGAAGCGAAAAAATCATCTCTGACTGCTTCTGTCATTTTTGAATCCTTGCGTTCGCTCATTCTCAAGTCTACAACTTTTTTACAACTGTGTTGATAAAGTTAGCAGATTTGGGTCAAAGTGGAATAAAAGGTCCTCCTGTCACAACTAGTGCTTCAAACTAACCTCTTTCTTCAGACATTGTTGGTTGTGATAAAAATTTAAAAGGAGAAGCAGAGAGTCAAATCAGTCMCCTGGGCAGCCCAGCAGCCAGTGGAAAGGTACCATTTCCCCACTTGAGATCATCAGCAATGAAGGCCTCACTCAGGATTACGGGCTGCTTTGCAAAATGGTGATGTGCATTCTCTGCTCCATCACAAAAATGCTTTCTGTACACAATGCTGTAATGGCCAATAGTTTTGACACTTTTAGTTGCTACAGAGAAGGCAGACACCTGGAAAGACACTCCTCCGGTAAAAAAAAAAAAAAAAAACAGCCACCAGAGGCAACAACTGCAAGAAATTCTCCTCAAAGTGGCTCCACATCTCATGCTGGTGACATAAGACTCAGAGGCTGTGACTCTATACCATGTGCATGCACACAGCACCTTGCCAACAGAAACACTGCTGTCCCCACTTGCTTCGAAAGTCTCTGCAATAAACAGGCACCAGTATAGCACAAAATAAAATAAAAAGCAACAAGCTGCTATTAACAMACTGAACAGCTGATGCGTCCCAGCGCTCCCACCGCGTTCACAGCCCTCACGGACTTCCACAAACGACGCTGACTCAAGTCTTAAACAAGCGACGGAGACTCGGCCTAGAGAGGCCTATCTGGCGAGGGGAGGGAGGGAGGGAGGGAGGGAGGAGGAACACAGCGGCACAGATCCCGCAACACCCCTGTGCACGGGGGGCACGGCCGCTGCCCCGGGGCCTGAGCGGCGCCTGGCACCGCGCTCCTCTTCACACCACGGGAAAGGCGCAGCGCTGGGCACCTGCCCGCCACACCGAACAAAGCCAGGCCTTGTAAAACAAGGGATCCCCGCGGGCCGGAGGGCCCCGCTGCCGCCACAGCCCGGAGCGGCACAGCCCGGCCCGGCACTCACCTGCCCGGCACCGCCGCTCCCCGCGGCYCTTCCGCCCGGCTGCCGTCACTTCCGAGGAGCCCGCCCCCGGCCCTCCCTCACGCTGGGGCTCCGCGGCTCCGTCCCGCTCGGGTTCGCGCTGGGCTTRTGCGGCTCAAGGCAGCTTCTCCGGTGTTTTCCTTGGGTCTAAACACAGGCCAGCTGCAGCCCACAGCGCGTGTCTGCACACGCAGAAATGCATTGATGTAAACGCAGGAGCCGCGCCTTGTCCTTAATAGACAATGTTGCCGTGCCCGAGACTTGAGCGGTTTTGAGAGAGTAAATACGTAAAGCTCTATGAGCATGGCTGTAATTCATTATTCATGTCTGATTGCTCGCTTGTGATACGTGCCAAGCTTTATTAGAAACCATGGGGGAGCTGTCGGAACCTGCAGGGACTTTAATTTTAATGTTGGTTATGGATTTTAGTGCTTAATCAATTTTCAGCCTTTTTACAGAACCAGAATGAGTCAGGTTGGAAGGGACCACAGTGGGTCACCTGGTCGCATCTCCCTYCTCAAGMAGGGTCATMCCAGAGCACGTGGCACAGGATTGCACCCAAGTTCCTGAGTATCTCCAGTGAGGGARATTCCACCACCTCTCTGGACAACCTGTGCCAGTGCATGGTCACCTGTGCAGGAAAGTTCTTCCTCATGTTCAGGTGAATTTCCTGTGCATCAATTTGTTGGCAGTGCTTGACATCTATTGCTTGGCAATAGATGATATTSCTTCAGCTACATCTCATCTGAAACTRCCCTGAGGGTCAACCAYACAGAACTGGTCAACACCATGGGCAGCAATCCCACCCTGAGTGTGATGGCATTCCATCCTGACACCCATAAGCATTTTCCCTCCCTGACTCCTCTCACTGCCTGCACAGCTTCTGCAGCCACACACAATGTCTCTTAGCATGCAGGTGAAATAAAGAAATTATCTTTTTTGCCATTAAGACATAAAAATATACTCAAAATATATTCCATTTTAATTACTGCAAGACAGGAATGCTTCCCATCAAAACTGCCAGAGCTGTATGTATCTTCTCTTCATTCCATTAATTATTTACCTTCAGTTTTAATAATACAGTTAAGGGCACTATATATAGCTTATGCTCTATCAATAAATCATGCTTATGTGTCTTCATATTTATCTTATAAAATTATAAGTACCAACATGCTTGCATGGATTTGCTAAGCAATTCTAGCAATGAAATTCCCAGCAGTGCATCTCTGGAGTCTTTAAACATGAACTCAAATATTCCTCACTCAACTAGAGCTATTTTATGAGACTTTTTATGAGATTTTTTAATTTTATGAGGTCACCAATCTTTTCACAAGTCTGAGCAATCTCCTTCATCTCCTTCTTCTAGCTCTGTGTTGATTTAAAACCCACTGGGAAAATTAAAACCACTTGAGCTGCCCCCTTTCCCCTCCCCGCTTCCGGTAGTGGAGGAAACACTAGGAGAGATTATAAATTGAAATCACAATTTACTGAAAAATTGCAATAACCAAAACAACATTAATAAATGAGCATACAAAAGAGAGAGTGTTTTACCCACAAAAGGGTATTCACCAGTGAACAAACAAAAACACTTCCCAAACACAGCACCCAGTGTGGTTTTCCCAAAGGCAAAAGATTACTGGCCCTGCACTGGGCAATGTGGTACATGGGGAAGCAAAGCAGAATATTGGGGAGGCTTGCAAYTTAACTTTYGCCSCTCAGACAGAAAACCATGGAAGAASARGGACAAGGGAAAATCTGGTGGAACCTGACAGGGCTCTGAAGCAGGTCAGGGGACCCTCCTCACAGGCCTGGCATTTTGGGAGCAGGACTGGAGAGCTTGGAGGTTTCAGTGGCACTCCAGTGGCTGCTGGGGTCACAGCAGCTGCGGCTTGGGCTCTACGTGGCTCAGCTGGGCTCTGCAAYGCTGCTGCTTTCTTTCTTTCTCTTGGAGCAGCTCACCAGCTCTTGGGCTCACCAGCACTGTCTTTGAGCACCAAACCAGAAAAGCCACAGCTCAGAGGAACAGGAAAGGGACCAYCAGTGGCAGATAGGGGCTAGGTCCACCAGGATGGCCCCAAAACCTGCACACTTCCAAGCAYAGCTAAAGATGGCCACCCTTCCCCTTCCAGCCCCTGGCTCCCCCCTGCTGCAGCCATGTCCCTGCCATCACGTGAGTGRTATGGAATTAAACAGTGCTAGAAACTCTGCCCCTTTCCTCTATAACCATAATAAACTCATCACAAAGCAAACAGTTTCATGTGACTTTTTCACCTATCATCAAACCYAAGAATCCACACAGTATCATAAGGGCAACACACACAAGCCACCTTCCCCATCCCATAAATCCAAGGCACTTTAGTGTGACCCACAATCCAGGCTCAGTCTGTCAAACTAGTCCTTGGGATGCATTGCTTGAAACAGTTC